TTGCCATTTCAAATTCTACAAAACCAAAACAGAACCCCTGTAGTTAAATACAAAGAAAATATTAATTAAATATACAGTCACAATTTAACACATTGAAAAATGAGTCAACATCTACCTTCTGACTTCGAACTTGAATACCACCACTCTTAATAGGTGCAAACTTCTTAAACTCATTCTCCAGCATACTGGGTGTAGCATTGAAGGGCAGACCTATGACGCATATAAAGGGACCCTCAGCTGTCCACAATCAAAAGAATTTGCAAGTAAATCATATGCACAAGCAAGTAGATACAAAAATAAATAATATAAAAGGCAGACAAAGAATAAAACTAAATGCTTAGTATTTGAAAATTTTGCAGGAATAACAAAAAAGTAAGATACCTTTTATAACTTGATTATTCCCATTTTCTGTAACATTCTTGCTGGAAATCTGTGTGTCAGATGCAGGGGGCTGGAGCAAATAGAGGTGTAGTAGTTTTCGGTTGGTCGTAGTTCTTAACTGCAGACTCACAGTGGAATGTGTAGGACCTTCATTTTCACTCTCTTTTCATCACTCACTAAATGCCACCTTTCTGCTGCCATTTTCTATTTCGGGTTAACCCTTTCTCTACTTCTCTGTCCAATTTTTTTCAAGCCCCATTCAATTCTCTCTCCCTCTTTTTCCACTCTTTTCAACCCTGTTGAAATCTTTTACTGCCTATAATAGGGACATAAATTCAAAGTTTACAGAAAAATAATGGGTCAAGTGCATGGGAAGAGAAATAACTTTTTGACTTTTTTTTTTTTTGTTTCCCCGTGAATGCTATACCATCTTATATTTTTATGCAAGCAAAAACCATTTAGTTCAACCTCATGGGTTTAGTCATTGCCTAAATTCAATATTGATTCTATTTGTCACCAAATGACTGTAACAAAGTTTAGCATGAGTTCAATCGGATTTTTATTAATTACAGTTTGATGGCAATAATCATTAATCTACCAGACCTCATACCTCAAATATATTTGATCAAGCAAACATTTAAAAGAATATTTGTTCCTAAACTTAGGTGCTACTGGTGTAATAAACCAATTATAAAACATGAGGAAATGACTCATTTCAAACTCAGCAGTGACTTAAAAGATCTCAATTCAAGACAATAACTGAAACAAAAGAATCATTCATGTCAAGCCCATTATTCTTTATTAGAAATATTCATCCTATATGTCACAGTAATATTCCATAAGCCCATATAGAATACATCATTATAAACTATACCATAACATGCTACTCACCCTATTCTTTACCATCTGCTTGCATGCATCCCATGCATAAAAAACTAATAACTTTTTTTAACAGCAAAACTAATTTATCCAAACTGCTTTTAGAATGTATGAAAGAGATTGAATGCTAAGCCCAAGCAAACAGTTGAATCCAATTTAGAAGACCATACAATCAACTCTCCATTTAAATAGTAGAAGGGAAACCCCACATTCTATGAGCAGTTAGTGCATGAACTGAAAAAATTGTCAAAAACCTTTTACTGTCGCAAGGCCGCATGAAATTCTCAAGTGATTATATTTAGAGTCAATTTACAACATAAATCAGAAAGAGACCAGTAAATAAAATCAACATTAGTTAGATAAAAAAAATGGGTTATAACCTATTGCTTTTTTTTTCTGCTTTAGCAAATAGCCAACCTGCACGCTAAAAGGATTCCCACCAAATTCCCACAACTTTTAATATGATATGTAATCATTATATTCACTGTTTGTATGCAAGCATTACCATACATGTTGGAACATATTCAAAATTTACGATGAATTATAACAACCCTCCAAATTCCCATAACTTTTAATATAATATGCAATCAACATATCCACAACTTTCATTTTTGAACTTGCTACCAGTGTGTAAGACAATAAACTTTTTTTGAATATGTTGGAACACTGAGATCAAATAGAAGTTAGAGCCTAACACCATCATTTATGAGTTTTTCTTCACAATAGGGATGAAGATAAAAGCAGTACCTTCATATCCCTATGAAGAACACGGTTTGAGTGTAGGTAGTCCATAGCCAACAACAATTGAGTCATCCATTTGCAGATTTTCTAGGGAACCAGATTGAATACCATCTGTAGCATTTGCATATAAGTAGTTCAATTGCAGGAATATTGTATTACCTCCTCAGGAAAGTGCATACATTTGGCCTTCTTAATAAGGTCAGCCCTGATTCCAACAAAAAATGTAAGATTCCCAATTAGTCTTTCATAAGCATCAGACAGAATCTGCTATCTTTTTTTCATCCCGAATCGCTATTTTGTTACATTGTAATCAAATAAAAGCAGACAATCAATAAAACATACAATATAGCTAACTATAAAATCCCACTCATCAACTTTACTGGAGAGAAATTATTCTTTTCATCATCGACTGTTTCTGTTGAAAGATTAAAAAGTTGAAAATAAGAGATATTCAGTTTTTTAATCACTTCTTAACCAATCTGGCAAGTTAAATCTTATATTCCTCAATTACCCTTTTAGTTTTTTTTTTTTAAATACATTAATGATGTGTCCAGTAAATTAGAAAGTGGGAAGTCAGGGGATTAAAAAACTAAATCTTAAAGAAAATGAGGAAGAAGAAAATATACCGAAATGAGAGTACGAATCAAAGTAACAATCAGCACAGGCTTTATCATCATCGCCGTCGCAATCAACAAAAGAGACTTCAGATTCTCCCATGGAGACATCTTCGATAGCTTTTTCAACGGCGACAATTGAATCGTCGAGTTTCGAGCTATCGGTGGCAACTTCCTCATCATTGGCGTCTTGGAAACAAACCTTGGTTGCTTCGAATTTGTTCGAAGAGCTTCTTGTGGTTTGTACTTTCCAAGGTTTGGTGCATGCAAGTTCAAAAGCATCTGGATGAACAAAGAAAAAATTAAATGACAACTCACCTGATCCTCCTCTTTCTCGTCCTTCTTTTTGGGGTCCTTGGCCGGAGTCTTCGTCTGAGAAGTTTCGACGTCGTTTTCAAATCTGACATTAGCTTTACTTGGGAGTGAGAGGGATTGCTTTGAATGCACAACTAAAGCTCCATATATATATATATATATAAATATATATATAGAGAGAGAGAGAGAGAGAGAGAGAGAGAGAGAGAGAGAAGAGAGAAATGGTATCGCAACCATTCTTGCTTTATCTAAAGCTCGCTTATTTTGTAACATCACCACGTTTAGAATGACAGGATGAATGCACTATATTAATGCTCATATTATTGAAAATAGAAGGTTAAGAAAGAAAATATGCTTATTACACATTTCATAGAAGCTGAAAACTTCTCAAGCTTTCTGAAAACTTCCATATATTACTATATACCAGAAAGGGTTGGAAGAGTTGGCCAGTGATGCTTAACCGAAGAAGGTGGTTGTGGTATAGGAGGTTGCGGCTTAGCTTCGAACAACAGGCTGGTTGGCGGTGGTCCACTGGAGAAGATGGATTCGAATGGGTTTCAAGTTTGAGCTTTCGAATGGGTTTCAGTTCAAAATTTTTGCTGAAAATTCGAAAGAAATAAAGAAGAAATGTAAAGCTTAAGCTAGAACAGGGAAATCAAACAGGAAAAAAAGAAAAAAAACTAAACTGGGCTCTGATGATAAGCTTTGGGAGAGAAAAGAACAGAAGTGTTATCTGGGTCGAAATTTTAGTCTTAATTTGGGGGCACAAACGCCACTAAATACTATTAAACAGTATATTTTAATATGTTATGCCACTAAATTTAGAAGAACTTTTGTTTCTAAATTGCTGCAAATGCTGAACATTTTATACTATAAATGCTGTTATAAGAAGATTTTGTAGCGTTTATTACACAAACGTAATGAGCTTGTAAAAAGGAAAATTGGCGGCGTTTCACTAACAGCTAAATAACTAACACCTTGCCGTTTAGACTTTAAACGAGTTTTGAGAAAATTATATTTTCATTTAAATAAAATTTGAGGACATTTTGGCAGCGTTTTTTCTACTTAAACACCGTAAAATTGTAATGATTAGCAGTGTTTTATTTTATAAATGTTGTTATACTCAAATTTAATAGTGTTTGTTAAATAAACGTTGCTATGATTGTAAAAACATGAAAGTTGATAACATTTATTAACGAAACGTCACTAAATAATTAAATAATTATTACGAAAATTTATTTTTTTGTAGTATATTTAAATAAATTTTTACTTTAAATGGTAAATTGATTTATGTTAAATATTTATTTACGTACAAATTAAATGTTACAAATTTATTTATATATAAATTAAAATTTAAAAATTTATTTGGGTGTAAATCAAAATTTAAAAGTTTATTTAAGTATAATAAAGATAAAAATTTATTTAAATAAAATGATAAAATTCATAAGCTTTTTTATTATTTTTACCTTAATTTAATTGTTATCCTTAATCTAAAAATATAACAAATTGTAAAAATTTTAAAATCAACCCGACTCAACTTTTTAATTTAAATTAATAATTTAATTAATTCAACTAAACTTTTTAATTTAAATTTAAAAATCAGTTCATCCTATTATTTTTTTTTTGAACTTTTTAATTTATTTTGAGCTTTTTTATTCTTATACGAATATGACAAAAAGCAATATTAGGTGCATAAATTTTTTAAATTCATAATTTTTTAATTTTAACTTTAATATCATTTCAACTAAATTCTTTATTTTTAAATAATCATTAAGTTTTTTAAATCTTTAAAATATTCATAAAGGATTTTTGTCAAATTTTCGATGTAACTTAGATAGCCGCATGCCCGTCATGTTCATGCAACGTGACAAGGAGGTAACCTCCATGGAATGAAACTTGAGAATTGATAAGAGTTCCCGTAAAAGCAGCATAGTTAAGTGACGTGAAGACAAACTACTAAATGCCAAAAATCCGGCTACGCATTTTTTTTTTTTTTAATTTTTGATATTTTTCTGTACAATCTTTCTTCGGGCAACTGTTAATAAACACTACCCGCCAACCCCACCATTGTCTATGTCTACTACCACCTGAGGAAATTTCCTTATTTTGTTCCTCTTTTTGATCTTTCTTGGTTTTTTTTTTTTCTAGTTTCTTTTTGTTGATGAACAGAGAAGAATACAAAAAGAACCCATCTTTAAACGAGAAAGATTAAAAAAAAAGATTTTCTTTTTTTTGTACTTTAAAAAATGTTGGGTTTTTCTTCTTCGAAGGGAGGAGGGAATAACAAGTATGATTATTCATTTAAAATACTTTTGATTGGTGATTCTGGTGTTGGCAAAAGTAGTTTACTTGTTACTTTCATCTCCAACTTTGTTCATGATCTTTCTCCTACCATTGGTAACTACTCTACTCTTTTATTTCAACTCTTTTTTGCTATGTTTTTGTTCTTGCTTTTTGGTTTTGGCTTTGGGATTCACACCCAGAATTTACTTTGAGTTTTCTTTTATTTGATATTCATATATATATATATATTCTTTTTGTATCTTTAAACCCTTTTAAAAAAGAAATGAAATGAATGAAAGTGGTTGTTTTTATGTATTGGGTTGGCAAGAGATTCAAGAGAAGGAATTAGAATCAATGCTTTTTTTTCCTTTGAATGTATTTAGGAAGTTTGATATAAGGGTAAAAGGAATGAAAGAAGGGATGGGAGTTGAGAGGTAAACCAAAAAAGAATAAACTTAGGTGAAATTGTTTTGTTCAGAGTGTAATTTTGTTTCATTCAAGTTAAAATGGATATCTTCTCAGTGCTTATAAGAAGCTTAGCCTTATAATTTTCGGGAAATTGACTCCGTGCTTTAGGTTGTTTTAGTTCAATTAGCATAATGAAACAGTGGACGTATGAACAGTACAGGCAATTGCAACTGGGTAGATAACTGTAAAAACTAGGCATGAAAATTATTTTAGTTTTCCTTGAAACAATTTTGCACTATGGTCTTGAGCCCTTTCCTGGTCATTATAGGATCCACCTGTTATGGCAAAGGTTTGCACTCGTAATGACTTGCTTAGAACTTGTTATTAAACAGAATAAGATTTGAAGATAACACATAAATTAAGCTTTTTTGTATGATTTTTATTAAGCTTTCAAAATTAGTTGTACTGCAGTGTATGTGTTCTAAACTTTTATGTATGATGTTTATTAAGCGTTGTTTGTTGTTTTGAATATCTCCAGGGGTGGATTTCAAAATCAAGATGGTCACAATTGGTGGGAAAAGATTGAAACTTACAATTTGGGACACAGGTAATTGATGGCTATTGCCAACAATTTGCAACTAATTTTTGCTTAGACCTATACACTGCATGGATCTTGATAGGATTTCATTGTCTGAATACCTTTTGCATCTTGTTAGTTAATAGTTACACACCTGTTTTGCATGGTACTGATTAGTTTTGCTGCACTCCTTTGGAGTCTTCATTGAGAAAAAGGGTCAGAATGGTTTTCATCCTTGTTAGAAACAACCGGGAATTTGAAGGATGTTTGATAATATTTTGATTATCTCTAGGATGTGTCACTTTGATCTTTGAATCAAAATGATTATGAGAAGAGGAATTAGCAATATATGTAAGTTCTCAGAAGTTTAGCAATAAATGATTCGAAGAGCTTCTGGAAGCAGAAAAATTCACTTTGGAATCTGATATGCTACTTGATGTTTAGAATCTGATTTTAGTTGAATGCCTGATGGGCCAAGATACAACTTCGGGGAATTGCTAGTAAAAGGGTTTTAGATATTTCCCGGTAATTGTGCAATTATTATCAAGGCTAAACTTCTGCTGTTATATACTGCTGAATCATGTAGTAGGAATATAACGACTGCATCTGAGGCGTGATGTGCAAGTGTTGCATGCGCTGATGGGTCCTAGGGAGCAAAGAAGCTTATCTATTAAGTTGCAAGAAAAAGGACATCTAGGACGATTTAAGAAAAAAGTTGAACGGATAGGATTAATATACTGATGATCAGAAAAAAAAATTAGATACTACAGCAAATGTTGAAAGGAACTCTGAGATATTGAAGCAAGGATGAAATAATTGTTAAGCCTATAATTCTGATGCCACTGCTGCTCTAGGGTATTGGACTGATCTTGTGTCCAGGGGAGTGAAGGTAGCATTGATGAGTGCTTATGTTGAGGCAATGGTATGCTTGGTTGGATGTGCTCTTACATTGTTGGAAACAGAAGGGAAGCGGTTTTCAAGGTTACAGAAAAAATAAATTGTTGGCCACAACAGTTATGGAAAGGGTGCCCCTTCATAAGATGCCAGCGCAAAAGAATGGATTTATATAACTTAGAAACATATAGCTGAAGTCTCAGTAGCATATTATACAGCTGGGTACCCTTCTAAGTAATGGGTTCTCTCTATATTTCTCATTTGGAGCTGTAAATGCCTAATATTTATGAACTGAGATCCTGCTTGCATGGTGTTAGTGAAAAGGAATATTACAAAGAATTATTTCTGAAAGGGTTGCCAGATGGGTTAGTGAGAAGCCTCGACCAAGGGAACCTGTTCGTGTTTCATATTTATAGGAAGTATTACCTGCTTATATATTGATATAATGCCATCATTTTCATTAATAATAAAGTGAAAGAAATTTTTTAATTCAAAATGATGTCAATGCTAGAATGGAACCAGCTGTTTGACATATATTCAAACTGTTGCAGCAAAGAGCAACTAAGGTTTGTTTACTGATGTACTAATATCACAGGCACTGTAAATTTTCTTGTGTGGTATTATATCACTTTTTTTGGGTGGGACAGCTCATTGTTGTTGATCTATTATAACAATTATGTGGACTTGTGTATAATACGAATGCTTGGGTACTCAATAAAAAAGGGTACAATTGCAAGAAGCTTCATTCTCATATCTCTAGCATTTTAGGGACAAATGAACTTTTTTCTTAAACATTTTTCTCTGTCTGGTGACATCAAAGGCATGATTAAATGTTCTGTTCTTTTGCATACAAGTATGTATGTGCGTGTGCAAAGGTGTGCATGTAAGTTTATGTTGTTTATGATCTTTTTTTTTACCCTAGTACACCTTGGATATAAACTTAAATCTCCAACATCATGGTTTCCATAATATTGATTTTTTCATTTAGATGATTTAAATGTGGAATATTCATCAATAAAGAGTCCAATGACTGCAGATCTACACTATGAGTTAATAATAGCAGAAACTTAGCCTCTAAACTCGGATATGCCCCTTGTACTTTAGAAGGAAAGTGTCTATCCAATATCATTTCTGATGTTCAGTATGAGTTTATTTCTTTCTACAGGCTAATCTTAACTTCCATTATTGTGGAACTAGAGCCGGGAATTTATTATGCACCTAGTTCTCATGTTGAGAATATCTTTTACTTATTGCAGCTGGTCAGGAGAGATTTGGAACATTAACTAGCTCTTACTATAGGGGTGCCCATGGGATTATCCTTGGTATGTCCTTGCAAATATGAAACATTTAATCCAGAATATTTGTAGGTAATTATAGTTTGCTGAATTTGGATTTTCCTTTGTAGCTTGTAATTTGATATGGTAATTGTTTTTTTTTTTTTCTAACAAGTAATGGACATCAATAATCAAGCTGATGCTTGATGGCATATGTGAATGGATGACACTTCACATCATCTATTCTTAGTCTTATGTGCATGTTCTTCCCCTCATAGTTCCGTTATCCAAGATCCTTTGAAGCCTTGTATATGTAGTATTTTACCATTAACCTCATGCATTGCTGGTGCTTTTATCATGCAACTGTTTGGTTAACCAAGTGTCACTATTGCTTATTGGATTTCTCATCTATTTAAGCTTTGAACTCAGATATCATATTTGATTAATAAATATTAGTCTAAAAGAAAATTTTGTTTTCATTGTGGAATAGTCATTCTTGTTCCACGGAGTTAGAAAATACTGACCCCACTTTACCATACAAAATGTGTGGAATATCTAAAATACTTCTTAACTAGTCTGATGAAATATTTCTATTTTCATTATATTTTTCTTATAAAATTTCAAAGAGGTTTGTGGAAGATTTAAACATCTGTTTAGTACATTTAGAAGTAGATGAAGAATTAAGTTAATAGCCTTATTATTATTTTCTGTAAAATCTTCTCTTTTTTTAAGATAATTGTGCTTTCTTATCTTTTATTCAAAATACAACCCAATACTATATATTGAGGATAAAGTCTATGTCATAGTCTAGAAAGCAGCCTAAACAACAGGTTGTGGCATTCTGGTTCATTTCCTCTTTTTGGCTGCATACATTCTGAGTATTTCTAAGTACTTTAATCATCATATGATCAAAATAGTTCAATACTTTCTTGTTTAAGAAGTATTGTTAATAGTTGTGGAGACTATTATGATGTTATTTCTGCTTATGTAGCTAAATTATGGGGACTTGAATACTAATTTCTTTGTTGTTTAAAGTCTATGATGTGACACGGCGAGAAACCTTCACCAACCTGTCCGAAATTTGGGCAAAGGAAGTCGAGCTCTACTCCACCAATCATGAATGCATCAAATTTCTGGTTGGAAATAAAGTTGACAGGGTAAGTCCTCCAAAATTATTATTGTTTCTTTTCTGCCAGAGTACATGTAACTGAATATATACTTCAACACCCCTGATGAATATGCTTAATCAATCATCTGAATCTTTAAAATAGATGCATACAACTTCACTTTGTAAACTTAATTTTGTGTGCTTTGTAAGGTATCTGATTTCTTATGAATGAGCAATGTGCCATTTTCAGGACAGTGAAAGGGCTGTTACTAGAGAAGAGGGTATGGCTCTTGCACAGGAACATAAATGTTCTTTTCTTGAATGCAGCTCTAAAACTAGAGAAAATGTGCATCAATGCTTTAAAGATCTCATTTTAAAGGTAAACTTGTATGAAATGCAGGGATCTCTCAACTATTTAACTCTCATAACAATATTCTAATGTTTTATTAGGTGCTATTATTCTGCAGTTATCTCTTATTATTTGATTAGAAACTGTTCGACATGATGATCTTTGCTGAGCATAATTTCTGGTCCATGCTGGAAACTTTATTTCTTTCTGGTTTCGACCTATGCTAATGCATTCTATCAGTTTACAGATTCTTGAGGTACCTGCTTTATTGGAGAAAGGATCTGAAGCAGTCAAGAAACAGATATTGCAACAGAAACAAGTACGCGAAGCACCCCAAAGCAAATTTTGCTGCTTTCAATGAAAATTCCATGACACTTGAGGTATGGCAATGCATAATAATACTTAGACTACATAAAGAAGTTCCACAACAGTTGTTGAAAGTGGCAAAAGGATGGTCAGATCTTCCTGGATGCACTTTGGCAATCGACAGGACAGCCGGTTATATGATCTAGCTACTAGATAGTAATTAGTTCTGTTGGAGACATTGTCGTTGCTTCCTCTGTAATTTTCGAAAATTTCTTTTTCCAGGTGTTTTTATTCTTATGCTTGTTCATTTTTGTTGTGCTTAGGATACACTCATCATTGTGTGGGTTTCAGGAGTTTATTGAGGGATGATTAGAGAATTAGAGATGTGAGAGGAATGCATGGATTGTGGATTGAAAAATTATAGTCCTTAATCCAAAATTTACATTAAAATAATCCATAAAATGGCTATGAATCAATAATAGAACAAAACAACATATATTAACATTCATGTTTTTAAGTCCATCCTAAGAATTGACACAAAAAAGAAAGTCCATTTTAAGGAGATAGTTCTTTATTTTTTTCCTTTAATAAGAATGTGTTGAAACTATTTTCAATCATATTAGATCAATGGAGTGTGTCAATTTTGTACTCTTAAGTTAACAAAGTTTTGAAGTGTGGTTTTAGTAATCTTCATCCAAGCCAGTTAACTGGTTGAGATTGGATCAAAAGACCTCTAGTTGAAACTGTAAAATAGCTTGCTTAAAATAGCACAAGTAAAGGATTGGAAATGCGGAAACTTGTCAAGAACAATTGAATGATAATTAAACTTCAAGATCAAAAGTAAAAAGAAAGCTTACTGAATTAAAGCTCTTCATCTTTTTTAACTTATGCAAATTTGATTGAAAATGAAATAAATTTTGATTGCTGCAATGCTCGAAAGTTTATAAATTAGCAAATTTGATAACTAAAAGTTGATGGTCAAATTATACATCAGATAAACATATCTTAATAGTTGTTAGAATATTTTTTCTTTCCTTCCCTTCATTCATTCGCCCAATCCATACATAGTATTAGTTAAATGGTGGAATAAGTCTCTTCACCTCAACGTGTTTAAATTGGATCTCTGTATTTTATTTAATTATTGAATTTAGTCAAATTATTAATAGTTTAAACTTTTTCTATTAAAATTGATGACATGTCATTTTAACTTTTTTGACGTGGTATTTTTGTTTATGTGACTATAAACTTTACTGACTTGTAAAATTTACTTAGTTAAAAATGATGGCATGGCAAATTTTTTAACACGTTATCATTTTTCTACGCCAACTTTTCTTAAATTATACTATTCGTATCTATAGTTAGGTTAAATGATGGAATTAGTCCTTTTACTTTAATGTGCTTTTAAACTTGATTTTTATATATTAATTAATTATCGAATTTAAAATTTGACCTAAATTAATAAATAAAAAACATAAATTCTTACTTCAACTGTGACATATTTTTCATATTTAGATAATTTTTTTGGATATTTGAATTATTAGTTGAACTTAATTTGATAAATTATGTTAATCTCAAATTAGATTATAAACCCAACATAAACTAAATTATATCTTTTCTTTATTTGTTTATTTTGATTTATTTATTTATTGTTAATTTCTATTTTTAATATTTTGAAATATAAAAAATAGATAACAATAAAATTTTTTAAAATGATAGAAATGTAAAAGTTAGATTAAAAAGCTTATAATTAATAAACCAAGATATACAATCAACAATTAAAGCAATTGTAGACATTCTATATTTTTTGTAAATTTTTTCAATATTAAATGGGTTTTGAATTTTATCTTGGTATTGGATTCTAAAATTATTTTTTGATAAATTGGGTTTAATTATGAAATTAGATTTTAAGCCTAAATTTAAAGGCGTAAAAGTATTTTATTTATTATTTATTGTTTAGTTAGTGAAAGTAAAAAAGTTAAAGTAAAAAAAAAGGCAAAAAAATGAAAATTGAAAAAATAAGGAAAATATGAAAAATTTTTGGAAAGATTGACTTGGAAAAATTTTAAGAATTCGATAGTAATCGATTTGTGGGTGTTGATGATTTTTAGGATAAATTGTTTCTATAAACGTTGAATTTTTAATCACTAATTTTTAAAAATTCCATTGAAATATGAGTTCATTGAATAAAACTTGTAAAAAAAAGTAAAAGGGAAACAAGGATGAGAGAGGAGAAAAAAGAAAAAATTAAAAATAATGATTTTTTTTTGTTTTCATAACAGGTTGAAACAATACCATTTAAGAGGACAGGTTTGATACAACTCACATGTTAACCCATATATTGATTCTGTTTATGACTCAACCTATTTGTATTGAAAAGCTTTTTGTTTTTTATTTTAGTTTTATTTTATTTATTTTAGGTCAAATCTTAAATTTGATTGAAATATGAGTTCATTGAATAAAACTTGTAAAAAAAAGTAAAAGGAAAACAAAGATGAGAGAGCAGAAAAAAGAAAATTAAAAAAATGATTTATTTTTTTTTTTGTTTTTATAACAGGTTGAAACGGTATCGTTTTAGAAAATAAGTCTAGTGCAACTCGCGTGTTAATCGATGTATTGACTCTGTTTATGACTCGACCTATTTGTATTGAAATTTTTTTAATCTTTTATTATAGTTTTATTTTATTTATTTTAGATCAAATATTAAATTCAATAATTAATTAATGTACAGAGATCAAATTTAAATACATATTAAAGTAGAATGATTAATTCTACAATTTAACCAAAATATAAGAATAAGTTATATAATTTGAGAAAAATTGACATAGAAAAATGATGATATATTAAAAAATTTTGTTACATCATCATCTTTGACTATACGAATTTTACATGTTTGTAAAGTCAAAAGTCATGTAAACAAAAATACTACGTTAAAAAAATTAAAATATTATGTCATTAATTTTAATAAAAAAAGTTTGAATCATTAATAATTTGATTAAATTTGATAATTAAACAAAGAATAAGGATCTAATCAAACACACGAAGATAAATGATAAATTCTACCATTATATAAAGTACATATATCTGTTATATTATTTAACCAAGTTGATATTACTTTACCACTATATTCACTTTAAAATTTATTTATTTATTTTAAAAAAAATAAAAACTTCACTTTGAAATAGTTAAAGAATTGACATATTAGATAGTGCTACATGCACATGCAAAGAAATAATTATATTGAGGTGATAATAAATTCAGAAACTTAATTGTACACTGCAGCAACAATTTGGCCATACTAATTTAGTCAAAATAAACTTAAGAAGCCACCTAACGTTTTGGGAAAATTGGTTCGGTATTATTTGAAAGCCAGAGTGACTTAAAAAAGAAGGGTAGCAGCGTTGTTGGAAAAATTTGAGACACGTTGACGTTTAAAGTTAATAAAAAGCAAGAGATGGAAGCGTAAAAAGAAAAAAAAAAGTAAAAATAGAAAGCGCAAATAATAAGAAAGTAAAAGATTCCGAATAAATTTAGATATAAAATAATTATTTTTATTTTATAAAAATTTAAAAAATTAATAAAAATATATAATTCAATTTTATTTGAATATTTTTAGTTTTTTTATTTTTCATTCTAAAATTTAATCTGAATCTAACAATAATATTTAATATTTAAATAAATTTAATCGAATAAAAAACGATTAAAACAAAACCAAATATTATAAATTTAAATCAATTTTTAATTTTTTTTTGATTTTTTAAAACTTAATCAATTGGCTTATCCGACATTAATTAACTATTAGCATAGTTGAGGTGTTCGCCCACATTATGATCAACGTTCTAAAATGTCAACTGAACCATCAAAGTATGATTAAGATTGACAAGCAAGTGATTTCCGAGGGATTCTCAAGTCTCCATGAAAAAAATTAAGTCTAGAATTGAGGTAATTCCAATCTTATCCCAGCAATATGTGGTGGGGGGCGTGGTTGGATTTTAAAGTTGAGATGCTCTCTCCGCGCCTTTAAAACTTCTTTGTTAGAGAATACCCCATCTCCATCACCGAGTTTCCTAGATGCTTCTCTTACTTGCTTTCTACGGTATAAAATCACTAGAAAACAGCAGCACCAGCTCACCGAACCAGCCAAAGAACCATTATCAACAAACTATAACGTCATATCCCACCTTCATTACAGGAAAAAAACACACATTTATAATTAAAATTTCCTGTTGTTGACTTTGCAGGTTTATTCTTGTGCTCCACGAATCTTTAATTTAATCATCTGCTGTTTCCACTATAAGTGCCGCTCTCAGACTAAAGAATTCATTTCTCATAAACAAAGCTGAAGGGACGCTAACCATGGTTTTGCAAGACGTGTTCACATCATTGACTGCAACAAGTACGTCTGTTTAATCTCAGTTTTCCTTCAACTCTCCTTCTCCTTAGATAATTGCAGGGAGATGCAGCACAAGACATGCATGCATGCGCATGCATTCTAATGGAAGATCAAAACTTTGTCTTGATTTGCATCTATTTATCATTGGCCTTACTCAAACTTAGTTGTCCGTAGTTATGATGGTTGAATCGAACCAAGCACATGAACTAGGCCCGATACTGCACCATGGTGTTCGTGCTTTTATTATTGTTATTATTATTTTTATTTTTATTGAAATTGGAACAAAGAGTTCAACACTCTCTTACATTGCTGTACACGGCTGTTCCTTGACGTTCGTTACCTCAGTTCCTAAATTTCTTTAATTTCTTCGTAGGATTACTGATATACCTAAAGGATAATAGCCCTGTCTTGTTGGACTTGGTTCGCTTCATATTTTTTGCAAAAGCATATTTTTGTTTTGCCTTCTTGATTCCAAAAAAAAAAAAATAAAAAAAATCAGGCTCTATTTTCTATTAATGCGTGACAGACTTGAAGTTTCGTCAATTCCTAGTGTCATGGATGCAGCTAAAATCACCTTGTTTCTGGGAAGCGGTCAACATAATTGTGCAACCTGGCTTCCTTGGAATCACATTGCTCCATTTTGTTCAAAAAAATGTGTGCAAACACAGAAGGAAGGTTGCA